TATTATCATCATTTGCATGTCATTCTCCTCTGGGACTGAGCTTAATTTTCTCTGAGTGAATCAGAGACATGAATTATTTTCTAGGAGAGTATGACTTACACATCCCACCTTCGGTCACAGGCAGTTGTTAAACATTTATTCATAGAGCAGATCGTCTGGTTAATGATCACTTACATCAGTATTGAAGAGAGCATCTCTATGGTTATTTTATTCACTGCTGAGGGGAAAAATTCCTTAACGTTTATTGATAGCAAGAGTGCCCTTCTTTTCCAGTCTTCCAAATTCAACTACTTCTTAGTGGAGCAATGATAACATTTCTTGAAAGCTAAGTCTCTGGAGGAGCTGGTAAGAAAGATTGTCAAGCAAGGTCCGAGACCATGCTGTGGAAATTGTTCTCTACCTTTTGTCTATGAGTGAGGAAGCTATAACATAATGTTGACTTATCGCCTGAAGAGGAACTGTTAAGACTGTAGATTGATGCTTTATTGAGGAGGTTGAGAGGGAGAGGAAAGGCATCTGAGCTGTAGCTCTGCTTGGCAGAGAGAAAAGCTGACTTTGTTCCCCGAGATCTGTACAGTCCAACCCAAATAAGGCAGTCGGGTAATAGACTAGAACCTATTTAATATCGTGTAGTCTTCAAATTACTCATCTCATTCTTACTTGAAGGCTCACTGGGAGGAAACCAGCATGGGGGTGTGGGTATAGGGGGTGGTTTATGGTTTACATGGGGTCTGTGACTCCTCCTCTCCATACATATGCATGTATTAGACCATAAATTTAAAGAAAACGTGTAGTTTCATCTAAAGTAATACCAGAGGTGCAGCCATTAGTTTTCTTGTGTGAATGTAGTAATTTTCCCATGAGATATGCTGATGGAAGAAAACTAATCACCTATTGCAGAGAAAATAATAACATTCAAGTAGTTGATTGCACCCAATGGCTAATGAATTATTCAAGCCTGCTTGCACTTGCACCTGGGGATGGTGTCTGTGGAGGCAGGGATGATGGATGGGGCTTTCCAGACCATTGCTGCTGGTCAACATCAGGAGGATAGGTCAGTGGGATCTGTGGGCCCTTGGCTCCAAATTCCATACATGAATTGTCAAAGTATTATGTAGAAATTTTTTTGTTGGCTTGTCTTGCTTTGTCTTTTGGTAGGAGAATGCCTCAGAATCAGGAAATTACTTTATCTGTATCGTAACAATAATAACAGTAACACTTTCCTGTGGTGTGTGTATGTTGTATTGCATTTGACCCGTACAGGTTGAGTTATGGTTAGGTTTCTGAGGTTATTAGTAAGAGAAAACAAAGTTTAGAGAGAATTTTGCCCATCTTCCTTTGCTTTTCAAAAGGAAGATTCCCTGACTCCACTTGAGGGCTCATTTCCTTCCCTCCCACAGCAGGAATGTGGTAGGCATATATATGTGGGTTT